AATGATTTTTAAAAATAAAAAAAATGATTTTTTAAAAATTAAACTTATTTTAATAAAATGTTTTGGAGTAAAAATCTATCTAAATATAGTTTTCTGTTTAACATACATTAATAATTTAGTTTATTTGACATGAAAATGGAGCTTAGTTGTGAAGTATGAGGCTGTATATTATGCAATATTTGCAGAATATGCAATATTGTAAACTCATTCAATGAATCCAACTCTGCAAGCTAAATAGGAAATTTCAATTTTTGCAAATAATATTTAAGATTCTAACTACCAACAAAAATGAGTTCTTATATTTAAAGAGCACCTATCATTTCAGATCCATCGTGGCAGCACCTGTTAGTGGGCATCTACTCACCTGCCACGTCCCTCACCTTGTGTCACTGCCACATCACCTGCCATCCCATTAAAATGAATGGGACTGTCGGTGAGTCAACAATGGGTCAGAGAAGAGGCACTGAGGGACAGAGATGACAGTTGCTCTTTAAAAATTATGACTTAAATTGAGTTGATTAAATCAAGTTTTACTAGTGATATTAAATCGTGATTTAATATACTTGATTTAAATAAAATCCACCTTGGGACTCACACTGTTACATAGTAAAAGAAAACCATTCAAATTACATTACAGCTTAGTGAAACCAGTCTTTATCTCATAGTCTTATTTCTCAGTTATAAAATGTGGAAAGTAAATATGAAACTCCACTTTTAAAAGACAAAATCTAGTTTGTACCAAGGTTATGAAATTAAGATATTGAGTTAGACCTAGTTTACCTTGCCTAGTACTCTGCCTAGTTTAAGATACCAATACTATAATTTACAAATCTCTGCAAGCTTATCTTAAGAAAAGCAATTTTCTGCCTTGGCATTGAAAGCCACCTGGGCAAGCCACCCGGAGTCCTCCGGGATTGGGCGGCCTATAAATTTAATAAATGAAATTTAATAAATGAATGAACTTTGGACTATTCCCTCTCAGTCCAACCTATTTCACAATGGGAGGAGGAAGGTGTGTTGGATATGTTCATTGCCTTTGTTATTTGTAAAAACAATAAAGGCAGGATTAGCAACAAAATTTGCAATGTTTCAAAAAGCTTGTTTATTGGTTTGTCTGACGAAAGAATTGAAAGCACTAAAGCCACAACTGAGAAGACCTATGCAGGTAGTCCTCCACATACAACTACAATTGAGCCCAAAATTAATGTTGCTAAGTGAGAAATTTTGTTAAATGAGTTTTGTCCCATTTTACAGCTTTTCTTGCCATATTTGTTAAGAAATCACTGCAGTTGTTAAATTAGTAACATGGTTGTTAAATTAACCTGGCTTCCCCATTGACTTTGCTTGCCAGAAGGTTGCAAAAGGTGATCACATGATTCCAGGACACTACAACCATGATAAATGTGAATCAGTTATCAAGCATACAAATGTAAATCATGTGATCACGGGGATGCTGCAACAATCATAACCATGATAAGTCACTTTTTTCAGTACTGTTGTAACTTTTAACAGTCACTTTTAACAGTGAACTTACACTGAGCACTACCTGTACTTCCCTTCAGATGTATTCCATGAATGGGCAACATCCCTCACTCCTGTGAAACATTTAAATACTGATATATATGCACATATAATATAGCTAATGTTGGTTTATCTCAAGAAATTAAATCAGACCTAATCACTATAAAAGATAATCAGGAAATCCTAAACTGTACACTAAATTGAAAAGAAAAAAATCCCATATCCATTTAATTGCCAAGAACACAACATAGACATAGATTGTTATTGCCAGGAATTGAACCTGATATGCAGAAATCTTAATATATACTTACAGGCAGGAGGAAAAACATTACTAAAAACATTACAATCCGGGTCCTCATTTTACCCACCTCGGAAGGATGGAAGGCTGAGTCAACCCTGAGCCGGTGAGATTTGAACAGCCAAACTGCAGAACTGCAGTCAGCTAAAGTAACCTGCAGTACTGCATTTAACCACTGCGCCACCTCAGCTGTCCAATCTCTTCTTAAAAGCCTTCAGTGGTGAGGCACTCACAACTTCTGAAGGCAATTTGTACTGAAATGTACAATCCAATGCAACATCTATTTTCTGAAAGCCCTGGATTGGATATTTGTTTGGCTAATAACTTTAAACTGGCACAATCATGATATATTGATTTGATATTCCCATTGTTTTCAGTTTTCCATTAGTCATTCTTACTGCAGAATTTGAATTAAAAATTTATAGAAATGTACAAGATTATTGATTTCATGCTGAATAAGATATTATTCTGAAATCAGGGCCCAATGGTCATATTTAAACATTGTGAGGAAAGGCTGTTTAGCAGAGAATAATATTTCAGGTAAGGAAAGAAGTGGCATACAATTGTAATGAACTTCAACTAAATAGGTAGCAACTCCTTATAATGTGCTACTGACATCACTCCTGGTGCACAGGGGAACTGCCAGGGGACTAGAAAAGACCTGATGTGGTTTTAATATTCAAACAAGGGGCAAAGAAAATCGATCCAGGAAACTATGATCTCTTTCCTCCATCTGTGAAATACTTTATGTAAGTACTTTTAACTCTATCCTATGGAATTTCCTCTATCCTAGGGAAATGGGAATGTGTACTAAGTGGCCTACATCACAGAAGTATTGTGTCCATGTCTGAAGTACACTTTACATGGTTTCAGACAAAAAAATGCTACTTCGTAAATATTCAGCATTTCAACACATTTAATAAAGCCAGATACTTAGGTATATATTTTAAATATATATTTAATAAATAAATAAGGAAGGAATTAGGGTTGTAGATTAGCATTCTAGACTTAGAACTGTCTAATAATTGCCCTCCTGTCTAGAGTCTTAAACCAATTTCTTAGGTAACCAAGAACTCAAAGACAGTTTAGATACTGGGTGAAAGCTGCTGAGGTATCACTTTTGAAGCTACCTTACAAAGAACAATAATTTAATTTTATAAAAAGTTGCTTAGAAACATCACAGAAATTCCATCAGACCAGAAGATTTATTTATATATTATATCTGTTTCAGTTAGCTATAAATCACTAGTATCCTTCTTCTAAGTAAATGTCTTCTTTCACCAACAGATACTTTTTATTTGATTTTCTTCTTCCAACTGTTACTAAAACATTTGACAGAGCATACAATGCATCTAAAATTAAATATGGATCATAATTTCTGCTGAAGTCAGGGTTTTATAATACTGGTCAGCGGCACAGCAACTGCAGATTCTAGAAATAGTGCATTTTAACTAACTAATATTCAAATCATATGGTTTGTAAACCTAAACTGCCATATCTTATTAGCATATCCTACAGCAACCTGAAATCATAACAATATTAAAGCAAATACATACATGTTGAACACATAGCCATGTTAAATTCAAAACAATAAACAGAAAAATGATCAGTCTTCCCTATTCTAATGATAAAATTCCCAATTTGTTTTCTTTATTACAAGAAAAGGAGACCCACTTAATAAAATGCATTTCAAATTGGTTAATAAACCTAAAGTATTATTGAATATAGCATTGTATACCAAAACCAGGAACAAATGTTAATAATTCTGCTTTTTACAGAAATTATACATTCTTGTAAAATGTAACATGCAGCAAAGTGAGCGCCAAATACTAGGTGCAACCTGAAATTCATTAAGCTATAAAGACGTAGTTTACTCCAACATTCTGGGCACCTTTTCTTTAACCTGTGCATGTTTATTTCAGTGCTGTCTGAATGTTTCTTTACACAAGTCTTAATAGAATCATGTTTAAACTACTCAAATGAAACAATTCAATTCTGGTATTATGCAATCATTCATGCTTTAAGGAGATAATCTAGAGATGCAATAGTTACCATTTACAAGGAAAAACTGCTTTTACTGAAATATTATTCAGTTTGGCAGCATGTAATGTTTTACTCAATCATTTAATCATTCTTACAGCAGTTAAAAATAAGCATCTTTTTTGCCAACTATACATCAATTTATAAAATATTTATTTAGAAATATTACATATAAAGAAAGAATGCCTCAGATAACACTGATCAATACACCTTGCTAATACTGCCTTTAGTGACATTTTATTATTTTTATCTTCAGTTGTTTCAAAGAATTTATGGAGGCAGAAATCTGCTATGAAGACAAGGTTGACCCATTTCTCTACCTAACTCCAAAAGTAAAGGTCTGCTCTTTATACAAAAAAAGAACTGATAATTATTGGTAATAACACAGCAAAAATGCAACAAAAATACTGTATGCAGGAAACAGATATCTTACACATTCCCTTTGTCTACACATACGTACAAACAATTTTAATTCAATTCTAGGCTTCTTCTCAAATATATATGCATGCCCACACACAAAAACATACATGCACACAAACATATGCATTACACATAGACAGCAAAGAAGAGTTTGTTAAGCATAAAATAAAACTTTTGAACCAGCCACTTTGCTGCATTTTAATTTTATTGCATTATGATTAAAGAATTAAATTCAGAACCAAAGATGAAACACAAATTGTCTAGCTTCACAAGATAGGAAAAGGTTCTTTCTCACATAGAACTCTTCTAAATTTGCTGATCCTTCCACAATCTTATAATTGTTCTTCTCCTTAAGTAGAAGAACTCATTATTTCAGAAAAAGGAAATAAGGTGATGGGGACGCTTCTATAAAAAAAGAGGAGGAGGAAGACAACTCCATGCAGCATACGCTATGTTATCCGGGGTCGGGTGTGTGTATGTTTCAAAATCGAGAATCCGAGGTGAATTCTGCAGCGAAAGCTCGAATCTTCCACTTTTCTACCACACCAAATTAGCTCCCCACCCCCTTTACATCTTTCATTCCCCATCAGGATTATTCCTCCTCCTCTCTCTCTTCCCAGTTTCCCCCCACCTCCCACCCGATCCTCCCAGTTTCTTGAAAGCAGCTCCACCTTTCTCTGCGCAAACGATTTCCGCCTGAGCAAGCGGGCTTGTAACCTACCTTTTTGTCTTTCTTCTTGTCGCTTTTCTTCTTCTCTGGCAGTTGGGCACTGTCGCCGGCACTTTCCCCTGCCTGCCCATCCTGCGACGTCGGCGGTTGGCAGCCTCCTAACCCTCGCGCTTGGGGGATGGGCTCACATGAGTAGGGAGAAATTCCTTCCTCTTCCATCTCCCAACCCGTCGGGGGTCCAACAAAAGCTAGCAACGAGGCTTCGTGCGGCGCGCTTGCCTATCTCTTATGAGTCTTTGTTTTTATTAGCGCCTTAAAGAAAAGGAGTTAAGACGCGACCTGTTCACATGTTTCTTGGCGCTGAGAGGACGGGGGAAGGGCAGGACGAGCTGCTATTTCACGCGTTTATCCCTGCCCTCCAATCCTCAAGACTCTTGCAGCCAAGCATTGTGCGAATGCTTCGGCGCCGTTCGGTTCTGGATGCTGGAGATGCGTCTTGTCTTACTTAGTGTTCTTCCTCCTGCTTTCTCGGGTTGATAATTATATGCAGGGGTCTTAGGCTCAGACAACCAGGGACCATCTATGCTAATGTCCACTCCTATGCTAATGTCCACTACTTGGAGCTCCCCTGACTGTCGGAGTCTCCTATAATAAACTGGAAATCGAGTCCAATCTGCGGGAACGAACACCCCAAGAATGCCAATAAGAAGTTAAGCCATAACAACTTCTGAGTTTTCTAAGGATGTAGACACGACCTACAAGCCAACGCAAACGGAGCAACAGATTCTTGACCCGACCACAAGCCTGGAGACAAGAATACGAAGCGATCAAACGCGCCTCCTACATACTCAATCCGTACTTTCCCTGCGCGACTGGAGCTCCCTCTTTAGACAATCATGTCGCGGGTAAAATCGGAGGGAAAGCGAGAGAGTGAAACATAGGGTGCAAAAAAAAATAATACAAACCGCCCTCGATACATTTAATAAGAAATCAAATCCCCTCGGAACTTCAGATTACCGGTAGTTGTTGGTTTTTTTCCTAAGGACTCAGAAAAATCAAAATTCTTGGAGACTGACTTTAAATGGCAGGCCTCAACTCTTCATTGTGAAGTTAGGACTTCTTTTAGATATGTACAGAAAGTAAATTTAGCCTGATCGTACCTACAGTATATAAGGAATTGAGTTGTCTCAAACTTATTGCATCAAACCAACAGCCTAATTATCAATCCGAGCTACTAATATTCACACACATTTCAACTATTGCATCTTCCCTCATAATTTTGGTAAATATACAATATTCAGAAAGATTATGAAGATTTGATAGCTGTAGTTATGTGAATTAAGAGAAATATAATAATTGTGATAATTTATAAAAATTATCATTTGAAGTAGAAAATGATGACTTGGGTGAACAAATCTTTTATAATAAGTGGAACTTTCTTTCTTACTCATAAAAATGTATATGTATACATTTTATATGTCCTGTATATCCTTTAAACAAAGAGGAAAATATTTTCCTGGCAAATAATGACAATATAAAAATAATCTATTTAGTTGCTGAATGAAAGTCAAACTTCTATCTGTTGATTTCGAATCAAGAATCTTTATGGGATCTTATCTAAATATAAATGTCTAGATATAATATTGTTTAAAGAGCCAGTGCTGCATTTAAAGTTGTTTAATTCAAACTTGCAAATACTTATATTTGAGATTTTAATATCCATTTAATAAAAAAAGGCACAGAGAATATGAACTTGAGACCAGAATCCAGATAGAATATTTCTAGCTTGAAAATAGCAGTCCATGATCATGTTCATATCACTCAATGGTCTTTTGTTCAGAAAAAAATCCATAATTTATCAGACAAATGTGTCACTTTTATACTAATAAAGGAGAATGTTTGTAGCTCATGTTGATATGAGGAGTCTTTGGTGTTCTCTGAGCTTATTTTCTTGCAGACGTTTCGTTACCCAAACGATGATGATTATGTTACCTAGTTTGGGTAATGAAACACCTGCAAGAAAACAAGCTCAGAGCACCAAAGACCCCTTGCTACAGTTTTGTGCTTGAAGATCTAATAAAGTTAACTCTTTGATAGTGGCTAGCTCTTGTATCATTTTGTTTCAAATGAATATTCAGTCATCCACAAATGAGTAAACATTCAATATGTACATCATTATAATTTTTTCATCTGTATTTAGTTGTCATTTTTGACATTGTTATTGTTCCTTGAATCAACAATGAATTTTCCTAAATCTCCACTTTAGGTTTATAATCAGAACTTATTGATAGGTCTAGAAAGCTTATTTTAGCATCCATATAAACTGACATCTACAGTTAAGTAGCTATTTTATCCAATTTAGTTTGTTTGCTCAATTACCTGCTAATTCTCTCATCATATACCTAACCTGCTAGTTCTTTCATCATATACCTAAATTGAAATGTTCCGTGGGTGACATATTGTGAAATTAATAACATTTTAAAGCTTATTAAAAGTTATGTCTTTTATGCATTACTGATTGGTATTGCACTTTTATCCCTAGAGTCACTATCCATTTTTAATAAATAGACAACAGTTTGAAAGCATGGAAATGCAAGTAGATAAATAAGTACCACTTTGGTCGGAAGATAACAGCATTCCTTATCTCTTAGCATATAATCATGCCATCCACATAACCATGGAAGTGTCTTCGGACTACGCTGGTTCTCTCAGATAAGAAACAGAGATGCCCCCTAGAGTTGGACATGATTGTGCTTGAGGTGGGATTTTGTGCTTTGATTTTGGGTTTTACCAATTAGATAGATTTATTGATATAGAAATGGCTGATTATCCTACTGTGTAAAAGCTAAAAGCTGAGGTTGCGTGTTACTATCTTATTTTACTACACAGCCACCTTTCTTTTTCCCTTCTTTTCTGCACTCTTCCCCTTCCTGCCTATTTTTCCTACCATTTGTTTTTTGTATTTTTTGTATTTTATATAATTAATTAATAAAAAAGATATGACAGGACAGGAGAAATCTTTACATAGTGGAATTTAATGGGGAAAATGAGCTTAATGGGAAAATGATAAGGAATTGATGCCTTGTTAAATATATAAAAATCAGATCAAAATCTCTTACCATCTTAAATTAAAACACATCTGACCTTGGAGATAGGAAACTTTATATAATAAAAACCCTGACAAGGGTCATCTTCCATGGTATTTGAGGACAACAGTGTAGCTCCTGACTCTTCAGTGACTGGTCTTTGAGGCAATAATTCCCTCCATATAATCATAGTAAAAAACACAGAGATCCTACAAGATTAGAGATGGGCAATTAATTTTCCAACGGACCACATAAGGATCTGGGACTGTTGTGGAGGGCCACTCACTGCCCCTGCCACCATTCCCTGCTGCTGAATTTTACCACCAACTCCCTCTACCACAAGTTGGATGAGGATAGTCAAAACAGCTGGATGTGGCCTGCAGGCCATAAAATGCCCACATATTTATAAGACCAAAATCTTTTCATCTTGAGCAAGGTGAAAAAGCTGTGAATGATTCTAGCAAGATTATCCAATATCATTAATAGTTGACAAATTTAATACACACTAATATTAATGCAGTATTCCTCTAAAGTGAACAAGTTTCAAATTTAAATTTGAACTATTCTAAAGCACTATTAGTTTTTCAGAAATCTACAGGCTCAGAAATACATACAGGCAATCCTGAAAAAGTGATACATATTTTCCATATTTATTCAAAAGAGAGATAATAGAGAAACATAATATGTAATATGTAAATCTAATATAACCCCAATGATATTTAATATCTGAGGAATCTATAGTAATATATTGCACAATTATTCTAAAATATAGTGCCCATCCCCCCCCCCACCTCTCCAAGGGGCTGGTAAAGCACACAAATGATTTTCATAAGCAACTGATACAACAAAAACAATATGTTCTTTCTCAGTCTTTACCAAACTGGTACTTTCGCAATTTATTGTTGTACAACTTTCATCCTTTCCAAACAGCAAAGCTATCACAGAAAAAAGCTATATTCTGTATTTAGGAGAAACATTTTCTTAGAAGCTATGCTCAAGTTTAAAGCTAAGCACAAGAATTTATGATCTAAAAGAGAATCCACTATTATCCAAGAAATCAGTTTCAGCTTTTATATTGTGTCAAAGAATCTAGAAGCCTATTTTGACCTTTTACCACCTTTCAAGCAATATAAATCAATGTCTCTTTCTTACAGAGTCAAACTCCTTGGGGCCTAAATCAACATCATGTCTGTCAAATTCTGGAATAGCATTGTGAACAGGACTGCTTTCTTGTGCACACGATGTAATTGATAATTCCCTCTGTACTATCTATTTTAAAGCAGATGACACTGATATACTTTGGAAGTTCCCACATACATTGATCTCTGCTTCTCTAAGGGACTTTGCACAAGAACACAAATATCTGGCAGTCTACAGTTATCATCATGTTCAAAATCTTAGGTATAGAGGCCTTTTGAGATTTGTCTTTGAGGTATACAGTCATCTACAGTTTCAAAATGTCAACCTGGCAAGAAAAAGCTGCAGGACACCATACCATACTTTTAGGTGTATAAAACACATTTTCCCCTCCCAAAAGTGGGTGGAAATGTGTGTGCATCTTATACAGTGAATGTTGCCGAAGCCGCACCCACTCACCAGCTCCTACCCTTCAGCCTCTGTTACCCAGCAATTTGTCTCCTTGCAGCAAACAGCAAACACTGTGGTCAGCTTCAGCACAGCCTTATTTAGCACAAGTAGCTGATTAGCAGTTGGATTGGCCTCCTGGAATACCATCTATCAGCTGTTCCAGGCTGTGGGGATTGCTGCCTCCCATTGCCATCATTGCTACCCAAACATGCTGCTGATTGCTGCTTCTGTGTGTCGTGGTTTTGGCCTCTACAAGCCCCATTTTTGGCCTCTGCATGTTGTATTTTCAGCCGGTTCCAGGCAGCAGGGATTGGTGGTGGCAGCGATCCCTACCACCTGGAATGGGCCGAAAACATGATATGCATAGGCTGAAAACAGGGCATGGAAAGGCCAAAAATGCGATGCATGGAGGCCAAAAATACACCACATGGAGACGGCAATCAGTGATGATATGCTGTGGTGATCCCCACAGCCTGAAACAGTTTATTGTTGGTATTCCGGGAGGATGATCGAACTGCCAATCAGTTGCTCATGCTGAATCAGCTGCTCGTGCTGAATCAGGCTGCGATAACATGCTGAAACTGACCAGGCTGTTTGCTGTTTGTTGCAAGGACGCTAGCCAGATGAATACCAATGGATGCTGGCAG